AAGAACAAAAGACTCTGAAAGAAACTTTGACCTTCCCCCTTTGAAAGGTCAATTTCACTGATTGAAAGTAAGAGACTAACTGCCTAAAAGAATTTAAGATAGAAGGCCTGTTCCAGGAAGGAGCTAATACCATGAGATAACTAGGGTATAATGTAAAATGGGTGTGCTAGAAAGGCACCAGCAAGCCCATTTTTATCAAAGACCTGTCTCTTGGGTCGCATTCTCTACAGATGGCCTAGCAAAGGATTGTTTAAGAAACATTTGCATTTCCATCTCCATGTGAATTGCCTTCCACCCCTCTGAAGTCCCAAACCACTAACCCCAAGATCCTGCTTTGTCTTTAACTGAGGATGATTTTTAAGGAAGTGTCTTTGGCCATTTTGGCCAGTTACTCGGTTTTCCTGGGTTTTTCCCATGTATGCACGCTATTAAACTTTGTTTTCTCCTGTTATTCTGTCTCATGTCAACTTAATTCTTAGACAGGCAGAAGAACCTAGAGGGTAGAAGGAGTCTCTTCCTCTGCTGAAGGTGTCAGCTGCTTCCTGCAGTTGCCAGCCCAGGGCTCCCCCATCACACGTTCCTGTGTCAGATCCTCCCTGTGAAAATACCTAGTGTGGTTCTGTGTTCCTGCTGCACCCACACTGACCCAGAAGGCTGTCCCACCCAACTGAGCTGACGATGCACACAGGGGCAGTAGGGGCATTGGAGGGAGAGAACTGCCCCTGGAGCCTGGTGTGGGGGGAGGTCTGTGAGGGGTGGGGAGGGCGCCTGCAGGCCCGGGTGGGCTGCTGCTGTTCAAAGTCCTGATGGGCTGCCCTTGCCAGTGTCTGTGGGACACACTGCCCCTGTGGGCCGTTCAGGCCAACATGACGTCCTGCTCCTGGAGGGAAGCAATGGGCAGCAGCCACCCAGGAAGCAGCTTCTCACCACGTGGCTGGTCAAGGAGACAGAAACAACCTGGATGCAGAGGAACAGGAAAACGTGGTGAAACGCTTGCCAAGTGGTGTGTTTTGAGTAATGAGGACTTTTGTCTTATGTAACATCAGTGATTGATAGTCTCCAGGACTTAATTTTAATCACAGCTGTGTTCAGAATCCACTCACAAATTCCTGGAAGTTGAACTCCTCTGCTACAGGACGTTCGCCAGGCCACAGAATCTGGATTTATCCTGAAAGTAACATGTAATATCTCAGGCTTTGTGTCCCATCCTCCACCTGCGTCCTGAGGCCTCCAACCCAGCCCCTTGGCCCCACCTTCCACTCTTTGCCCTGCTGGCCACTGGCCTCTCCCCGTCCAGGTCTCCATGTGTCTTCTGTCAGTGTCCACTTCTCCCTACACAAAGAGGACGGCCTAGGCCCTGCTGCAGCTGCCCATGGGGACCTTTCCCTCCCAGGAGTGTTCAGGCCACCCCTGAGGGGGCTGGAGTGCAGGCCCCATCTGTGCCCAGCTTTCTCCTGAACACTGAGCCGACCCATGGAGAACCAGGCTGAGAATTCTTCCTTCTCCGTCCTCTGACCCCAAGGGGCTCCTCCCGCAGCCCCAGGCGTGAGCAGAGGGACCGGCGTGGGAAGCAGTGCTGGATGACACAGGGTCAGGACCACCTGTACAGAATACGTGCTTCTCCGGAACACTTTCCAAGGCCTTCCCATGTTATAATTCTCGCTCTGGCTCAGGTAAACTCACCTTATTTCTCTCATCTATAGAATGGTGTTTGGTTATTTGTGTGGACAGGCCCAATGTGAGGATGTGCCAACCACCATTTACTTCTATTCCAGCTCACATCCAGGGATGGGGACTGCCTGCTGGGGGGCCAGGGGCCCCCCTGAGAGTTTGAGTGGGCCTGGAGCCCCCTGATTCCTTGGCCCCCATGTGCCCCACATGAAAGAGGGGCCAGGATCATGCTTTGCGTGTCGAGATATTGTGATACTGTGATTTATAATAAAAAACATATTTGGTCTTCATCACACTTCTGGCACAGAGCTCCCAAAACCCTTGTGATTTCTGTGATGAGAGCAGAAAGGTGTCTTTTGTCATGTAAATGAGGTTACTTTTGACCCCCCTGAGGATGGGGCTGTTGCAGAAGAATCAACCATGTGGTTAGAGGGCTGGAACTTTCAGCCTCCCCCACTACACCCCCCATCTCTGGGGAGGGGGGAGGGGTCACGGGTTGCCAATGGTGATGATTTAATCAACTGTGCCCATGTGAAGAAAACCACAAGGATGGGGTTGGTGAACACGTGGAGATTCGGGGAGTGAGGCACCCCAGGAGGGCGTGGAGGCTCCTCGCTCTTTCCCCACACCTTGCTCCTTACACTCGTCCATCTGGCTGTTCCTGAGTTACATCCCTTTATAATACACCAGTGATCAAGTGAGCAACATGTTTCTGAGTTCTGTGAGCTGCTCTAGCAAATTAATCGAACCCAAGGAGGGGGTTGTGGGAACCTCTGATTCATAGCTGGTGGATCAGAAGCCCAGGTGACAACCTGGACTTGTGACTGGGGTCTGAAGCTGGAGGGAGGCAGGCTTGTAGGACAAAGCCCTTTACCTGTGGGATCTGATGCCACCCGGGTAGACAGTGTCAGAAATAAGTTAAATGGTAGAACACCCAGCAGGTGTCTGAGAATTGTTTGGTGTTGTGTGGAAATTCCCCCTTCCTCCTGACAAATGGGAATTGGGTCCAGGAACCTGATTTAGTTGTTGATCTGAGACCAACAGTCCCTAAGATGTTGTTTACAAAGAGACAACAGGCCCAAAATGGAGTCACTTGTGCTAAGCCCCACGTCAGCAAAGTGAGACTTAGCACCTAACCCCAGTGCAGTCCCAGCCTCTCCCAGGACTGTGATCCTAACCAGTCAGTCTGGAATTTCCTGGTCAGCACCAGTGAGGCAGTCAGCCTGAGACCCCTGCTGTCCCCTGGACAAGGTTACATTGACAGGAGCAATCCACTCTGCTAGTAACTTCCTTGTCCCACCCCTTCTGTCTAAGAATGTCTCTCATTTTGTACAGCTCTTCAGAGCTCCTTTCTGTCTGCTGGATGAGTTGCTGCCCGACTCGTGAATTGTGGAATAAAGCCAAGAAGATTTTGAAATTGTACTAAGTTGAATTTTGTTTTTTAACAATGTCTAGGATTCCCCTCTCCTTAGGACCCATTATGCCTGGTTATGGAGAGGACCGGGCCGGTAGAAGAAAGAGTGGAAGGTGGGGCACAGGGGCTGGGATGGAGGCCTCAGGATGCAGGTGTAGGACGGGGCACAAAGTACGAGATATTACATGTTACTTTCAGGATAAAATGCAGGTCCTGTGGCCTGGCGAACGTCCTGTAGCAGAGGAGCTCAACTTCCAGGAACTGTGCGAGTGGATTCTGAGTACAGCCCTGATTAAAATTAACCCCTGGATGGGCTGGGCTGGTGGTGTAGTGGTTAAGTTCACGCACTTCACTTCAGTGGCCTTGGGTTTGTGGGTTCAGATCCTGGGTGCGGATATACACACTGCTCATCAGACCATACTGTGGCGGAGTCCCATATACAAAAAGTGGAGGAAGATGGGCACAAATGTTAGCTCCGGATGAATCTTCCCCACAAAAACAAAGCAAAACAAAACAATTAAGTCCGGGAGACTATCAATCACTGATGTTACATAAGACAAAAGTCTTCTTTTCCCAAAACACACCACTTGGCAACTGTTTCACCACGTTTTCATGTTCCTCTGCCTCGAAGTTGTTTCTGTCTCCTTGACCAGCCACATGGTGAGAAGCTGCACCTGGGTGGCTGCTGCCCATCACTTCCCTCCAGGAGCAGGACGTCGTGTTGGCCTGAATGGCCCATGGTGGGAGTGTGTCCCACAGATACTGGCAATGGCAGCCCATCAGGACTTTGAACAGCAGCCCACCCAGCCTGCAGGTGCCGTACCCACCCCTCACAGACCACCCCCCACACCAGGCTCCAGGGGCAGTTCTCTCCTGCCCCTGTGTGATAAATAAATGACATGAGATAGGATACACTGGAGGATATGAGGAAACCATGTGGTTTAAAACTAATTCAGCCTGACCTTTTTTCCCAATAGGGCCTGATGTGGCCTGTCGAGCATGCATTGTATATCTGCTTTAGACGTTTCCAATGTCCCACAGACAAGAATGATGCCCCTTAAGATAGGGATGTAGCTTCCGCCTCATATCAGCATTTCATTAGGAAGGAGGGTCTCTTCCTGGGCTTGAAGGATTAATTACCGACCTGCTGTGCTCACCTTGTGACCACTGACCTGCTGACCACTGACCTGCTGTGCCAGCAAAGCAATCTCCTGACTGTTGTAAAGCGGATATCCCTGTCAAATGTGATGTATGCTCTTTGTTCCAACACGGTATATAACCGCTCTGCACACCACACTTCTTGGTGCCCTTCCTTCCTTGGGGAAGGAAGGCCCCATTCTACAGTCCTCAGATCTGGCTAATAATAAACTCTCCCTAATTTGGATTTATAGATTGGTTATGGAGTATTTGCGTTGACATTTCTTGGTGTAGTTGTGGCAGGATTTCAGAGACACCCCCCGGAGACCACCTGGAATCTACACTGAACCGGCATTCGGAAACAATAGGGGCCCACTGAGCCCCCAGATCACTGTATTCTTCAGGGGACCCTCAGGGGTTCTCATGAAACCCGGACCTCCTTGTTTTAAGTTGATGGCCCAGAGTTTATTTGAGCTGTTTCAAGGCCTAAGACTAGGTGTCTTCTGGGGGTACCAGTACATACCCCAGGTCAGAGGAACCTAGCAGGAATGTCCTAGGCCAGGGGAGCCTGGGGGGAACTTGGGAGTGAATGGGGCAGGCTGACCTTTTTAATTTGGCTTAAATTGGAAAGAATTGTGCTTATAAAGCCTGAACAAACTGTTCGATAGAGAAATGAGAGTCTGAATTTGTTCAGCTCCGAAGAGAAGGGACTCCAGCTCCTCCAGCTGTAAGGCGTTCTCAGGCGACTGAGAACCTAGTGGGAGTGTCTGAGGTGGAGCCTCGAGACGTGCAGCGGTCCCATAGGGAACTCCACTATCATTCACGTTAATTAATTAAAGGGTCGTCCGGGGAAGTGCATGTGAGGCTTGGTCACCCTCACTCCAAGCCCCCACAGCGGTCTTAGACTTCTGGCAGGAGCAACCGAGGCACGTAAGAGACTGTTTGCAACCTTTCTTTAGGGAGTAACACTCACAAGCAGCACATTTCTGACCCACTACACTGTCCCTAGAAATTGTTCCGACTTTATAGTAAAATGAAACTAAAAGAAAAACAGGAAGTCAAGTTTCTAAAGGCCAACTAATTCCCAAATGGGGAGCCGCCCCCCAGAACTCCGGCTGGCTTCATGCTGAAAACTTGTAAGTGCTTAATGAAATAAGGGTAGCTGTAAATGGCTGGCAAGACAACCTGGGATAACTTGAAATTACAGTGGCCACTGTGGGGCTCCTTTGTAAGAGCCAGATGGCAGAGAAATTTTTAAAGAGTCAAGCTCGCCAACTTCCGGCACAACTGCTCAAACTAAAGGTTCTTGAAGCTGTAAATATTTACAAAGAATAGCAAAAAAATGTCTTACCTAGCTTGTTTCATGTCCTGAGGGCTTGGCTTAATAGTCTTCATGTTGGAGAACTCACTAGGGATTCTCCAAATAGGAATTATCTTTTCCAATAATAATTTACTTAAAGCCATTGCTCTTCTGCAAGGAAAGTCCTCAATTCAATGTGAGAACATATAAATCATTACCAAGATATATTTATATCCTTGCGATGGTGGCATTTGGACAAAGTCCAATTGGCATACCTCAAAGAGTCCCTTAGGAAGCGCAACGTGGCCTTGTGATTCATGAAATAGTTTTCCTAGATTACATGTTGGGCATATAGCACGAGTATAGGCTTTATGGGCCACTGTGGGAGAAAGTTTCCAAAAGTATTGTTTTCCCACTTTTGTTGCCACTTTTATTTCTCTTCTTCTGTGGTGATTTCTTGAGCCTACAGAAGGAAATTTTTACTGGGTTATCAGAGTTAATAGAAAGTAGCAGGCATTCTTGAGGCTGCACAGCATATCCAGCTTGATAACATTTTTGCTTATCATTTGAGTAAGACCCATCTGTAAACCAAATTAGATAATAGAATGTAGTCATGACTTCTTCTTGTTATGTTGGAAGCAAGGTAGCAGGGTTAAGATAGTGAAAAATGTTTACCTATGTAAACCTAAGAAGGTTTATCATCATTTACTTAAAGTGCTTCCCAGGCAATTTAGCATACCAAAAAGCCTAATTAGTATCTCCCTCTTTCTAGGAAGAGAGAACAAACTTCTTTGAGAAGTCTCAAGGTCCCTTTGAAAATTCTCAAAGAAAGAAAAGTCAAAAGAAAGACTTTATTTAGGATATGAATTTTGGAGAACTTGTCAAAAATATCAAAAGGTCTTAAAGCACTTGATCAGACAAGATCAAGGGGTTGCTGATCTTTTTGCAGTGAAGCAAAGCTTAGTTACCCCTTCAAACAAAGTGACAACAGAAACAGTCAAGGGCAAAGAGAGCACTAAAACAGTCAAAAAAAATCTTATTAGAGAGACCTCAGTCTTTTTGAACCTAAGAAATTACCTTAACAAGACGTAGATCTCTGTACTTTACGTAAACTTACTCAAAGGTAAAGAAAAACCTTTTATACCCTCTTTATCAAGAGCAGGCTAAGAGTTTAAGAAAATTATCCCTTTTAAGAGGTAGAGAAAACCCAATTCTAATTTTTGTACCAGCTTACTTCTGATATTAAAACTTATGTACTTAATTAAATTTATTTTAATTTTAGCCAACTTGACAATGCATAAAACTGTTTCCTCGGGGCTTCTCTTCAATAATCTTCCTCGGCTAGTGGAGGCTGAGGAGCATCTCATCACCTGTCCGTCTACGTTGCCCCCAGGACACAGCCCATGAACGTCTCTAGAACTCTCTGCTGGTCAGGTCCTGTGGCTGCACTCTGACGTCCTGGTAGGAGATGACTGATCCCACTGGCCTCCACACCCCCGCGGTCACTGCCTTGTTCCCTGTGGGCGTCTCCCAGCACTGGTCCTGGGGCAGAGGAGGCCACCACCTACTGCACCTGTTGAGTGGGGTGTCCCCAGCTCTCCTGCAGGGCAGCTTTACCTGCTCCAGCCTGGAGGTCAGCATGGAAGCCCTGGCAGGACAGCAGGAGACGGGGTGGTCACCCTGAGGGGGCTCCAGGAAACGTGGGAACGTGAGGCCCCCACTGAATGTGGTGGACACGTGAGAGCTGCTACCCATGGCAGAGGCAGGACGAGAGGTGAGGCTGTGGACGTGCCGGACGGAGAGTTAGTCAGATGCAGGAAGGTCCGTCCAGCCCTGTCCACTGGGCCCAGGTCAGGGTCGCCTGATCGGGGTCTGGGCTGTCCGTTGGCAGGGGACACCATGGGCCCCTCCCCCCTCGCAGTGAGTCCTATGACCTGGGGGGAGGGGGAGTCCGTCAGCATCCTCTTCTCCACGACCCGCCTTCCCTGGGCCTGTCCCCATCATGCTCCCACAAGTGGGACCACTGCTCTCGCAGGTCCCCCCGGAGGACCCCAACCTGACCCCCGGCTCCTGGAGTTAGGGCACTGCTTTTGGGAACAGGTAACAGGGTGTGGGTGAGGGGTGCGGAGAATCCACAGCTGGGGTCTGGGTGCACAGGGGAGGATGGGGAGGCTATGGCCTGCGAGCTGGTTGTGGGCAGGGTCTGCCCTGGAGCACCCCCAGCTGCCCACATATCCAGGGGCCATGGTGGAACGAGGTAAGGAGTGGATCTCTTGGTCAGGGCAGGGTTGTCCCAGGTAGTTGGCCAGGACTAGGAAGGGCTTGACGCTGAGGACGGCTGCTCCTCACTGCTCCAGCTGGCCCTGTCCCCCCAGGACACTGGCTGCCCCCACCCCTCACCCGCAGGGGAGCAGGACAGAGCCTGGTGGGCTGGAGGAGGCAGCAGCAGGATGCAGCAATGGCTGGATCGCCCAGGAGGGGCGGGGAGGGCCGGGGCTCCATCAGCCGAGCCCACACATGCAAAACCCATGGCCTTCCCACAGGGTCTGAGCTGCCCGCCTTCACCCAGCACTGCGGCTCCCAGCCCCCCGAGAGTCAGGGAGGCTGGTCCTCGGGGCAAAGGGTGTTCTGGGCACAGTGTGCCCTTGCGTCAGGACGCAGACCTTGGGGAAAGAGGGAGCCCCGTCCCAGGACCCGGGTCCAGCTGTTGCTCCCAGCAGGAGGCTGGAAACCAACACAACCTGAGGACATGCCCAGCCCCCCTCAGAGCAGCACAGCAGGTGGGCAAGGGAGGAGTGGACCCAGTCTCGGGGGCAGGCTGGGGACTCTCAGCAGGGCCCCTGCCCATGGGACATCACAGCACCGTCACAGGCAAGTGTGCTTTATTGAATCCAGGTGTAGACAGGTATGTCTGTCAAACTGCTGTAGAAAGGGGTGGGGGCGAGGGGGCAGGGCCAACAGCCCCAGGATGCGGGGCCAGCAGGGGACAGTGGGGATGGGGCCGTGGCCATGGGCAGCTAGTAGTGGACTCTGTTGCCTTGAATTCTGTTAACTCAGCGTGACTGTCCTTTAATGGCAGAAACAATGATGAAAATGACGATCACAAGGATGCCCAAGACCAGGGCAAGGATGTTCAGGAGCTTGGCGGTAGATGCATAGCTCTGGGCCCCAGTCATGTCACCCACCATCTTCCGGTCCCTAGACTGGGGGAGAAGAGAGGTGAGAGGGACTTGGAGGGGTTCTGGTGAGAGCCAGGTACTACGACTCACGTCCTCCCCTGGCTGGTCCCTGCCCAGAGCAGCCTCCACCTGCCCTTCACCCACATGGGGAGCTGCCATCCCCGGCCCCTGAGCCTGAGCAGGACAGTGCCCGGTGGGGCCCCTCCCTGCTTGGGCCTCCATCTCCTTCCTCACAGCCTCAGCTTCTCCACGAGGTCACAGACTCGTCCTTCTGCTCTGGCCCCCTCGCTGGCCACTCACCCTGTCAGGGTCAGAGTCTTTTGAGTACCTTTTCCTTTATCCGGACCAGACTTGAGGTCTGTGAAGCATGTAATGTCGCTAACTAGTCTGGGCAGGAGACTTGGGGATTATGGAGACATAGGCTTCCCAGGCCATCCCCGTGCAGCCTTGCCGTGTTCCCTCACTGCGAGATCCCCCAGCCACACACACACACATGCACGCACACACACACATCGTGAGACATACACACAAGGCCTCCCCACACCCCAAGTGCCATCTGGGCTGGGGGACCTCTGCAGGCTCACACACACTTTCTGGAGCATCCCCCACCTTCACGGAGTAGGCGAATGCCACGATGCCCAGACAGCAGCAGTTCATGTAGACGGTGTTGAACAGGGACCAGACGATGTGGTCAGGCACAGAGGTCTCGGTGCGGATGTTGATCACGGTGGTCGTTATGGGAGCCGAGCCTTGGGGCATCCCCGTAGCAACCACCTCATTCTCCTCCTTGGACATGTCTTAAGTTATCTGGATGCCGGTGTGGGCACCAGTGAAGAAGGGCTGGGAAGTGCGGTCACGATGTGGAGCTACGACCATTTGTGGAGTGAGGCCCGGATGCAGGAGGATGGTCCTTGGTAGAGCTCGGCCCCCCCATCTCAGGGTCCCCTTTCCCCATCACGACTCAGTAGTTCTGCTTTCTCAGAAATTTCTATTTCCTGATGTTTTGTAAATTGGTGAATTGGCTGAGCACTAGGAGGGCAGAATAAATGACTGAATGTCAAGTTAGTCTGGGGCGGGGTGGGAGGAAGGGCTATGGTCTGGGGGGGGCTTCCTTTCCCAGGCACTCAGGTCTGGTCCTGGTCCTGCTGACCCACTTCCTCATTTAGGGGTGTGGGTGGGCCCTGGGGACTTTTCCCCAGCCTGGGAGTCACCCACCCATTCCCTCACCCAGCCCAAGCCTGCTGCAGCCCCCCACTGTTCCCAGGCAGGGCCCCACCAGGCCCTCATTCAGACTCCACACTCCAGGCCCAGGGGCGTCCCCCACCCCCAGAGCCCACACCTGGGCTGTCACAGGCCCCCTCTCTGAAATCCACTGTCTTTTCCTGGCTCTGAGTCCATCCTCCAGGTGGCATTGGGTGTTTCCTGGTTGCAGGTCAGGACCCAGCAACCTGTGTTGCCTGCCCCCGAGGAGCCTTCCAGGCCCTCTCCCCAGGGTCCCCCAGAAACAAGAACCCTGGGCGCTCCATGACATGAGGAGGCGGCTGTGGAGGGAGACAGGATGACTTGAGGGCATTTGGCAGCAGCTTCGGAGCACAGGGCCAGCATCTCTGTGCAACCCCACCTCCCTCCTCCCTCCAGTCCCCCATCATTTTATATAAGGGCCAAGGAGCTTGAGGGGCAGGATCCAGGGGAACCTGGAGAGCAGCTCACTCAGAGGGGCCTCAGGAGAGGGCAGTGCCCCCCACTGGCCGGGGCCTCCCTGAAATTACATGCTTTCCGCTTCCTGCCTCAGTCCACCCCACGGAAAGATGGGGACATCAGAGCAGTGAGGTGTGTCACCTGCGGTAAGGCAGTTCCTGTGACTCAGCTGCAGTGACCACTGGGCTGTTCCCCTAACAGAACAGAGACGATGGGCGCTGTAGGCTGACCCCTGCATCGCAGCCCTTCTCCAGCCCCCTTCCACGTGGGTGATCCTGTCTGGCTCCTTCTAGTCCCTCCTGCTCTGCTCTCTGAGAGCTCTCCCAGGTCAGGGTTCCCTCTTCGCTCTCTCCTGGAGCTTCCAAGGCCCCCAGTGCCCTCCTCCCTGGCTCGTTGTGGGAGTCAGCATTTTAAAGAAAAAGCAGTTCTCAACAGGGTCTCTTACCGGCCAAAACTGGGTAGGGAATAAATAGAGTTTTGCTTCACAGAGAAATAAGGGTGGAGAGTGTTCTTCCACGAGGGTCAGGGGAGGCTCCTTTCTCCGCCACACCCACATATCCAATGCGGGGGGCCCAGGAGTGCTGGAGGCACATCCTGGCTCCTCACCTCCTCCTCCAGATCACCTTTCTCTCTCTTCCATAAACCTGCCAGTTCCTTGGAACTCCGTCCACTTGACTCTGCCATCATTATTCCTGCTGTTCGCCAGGATTCCTGCTCCCCTCCTTCTGCGCGAATGGAAAGAAGGCACTTCCCCACCACCTTGAATTCATACGTGATCGGGGGCTTGCTGTGGCCAGTGAAGTGAGGGTGGGGCTGAGAGGCGTTGCTCCCAAGCAAAAACGCTAAGAGATTCGTGTGTTCACCACGCTCCCTGCGGCAGCCATGAGCCATGGACGCCCGTGTCAGGGGGGCCCCACCCTGGGTCCCTGGGTGAGGGCCGTACGTGGACCCCACTGCCACCAAAGACCCACGTTTGAGTGCTCACATGAGCAGGAAACAAAGCTTTCCTTGAAGGCACTGAGATCCGGGCTTGTTCCCCGCCACAGCACAGTCTGGCTTGCGCTGACCGATGCAGTGACGCGCTGCCATGATTTAAGATGTGGAACGTGGGGCATTGGCCTGGGGCCAGTTGCCAGGCAGCAAAGAACTGTTCTCGGAGGCCGGACAGAGTGACCCAGGTAGAGAAATGTGACAGCTGATTTTGTGTGTCAACTGGACAGGGCCACAGGGTGCAGACTTTGGGTCAAACAGGACTCTGGCTGTGTCTCTGAGGGTGCTTCTGCATGAGATAAATGTTTGAATAAATGGACTGAGTAAAGCAGACAGTCCTCCACAATGTGGGTGAGCCTCATCCAATCCGTTGGAGGCCTAAATAGAACAAAAAGATGGAGTAAGGGAAGGTTCGCTCTCTCTGCCCAACTGCCTGTGAGCTAGGACAGCCACCTTCTCCTGCCTTTGGACTGGGACTCAGGCTGGAGCTGCCCACTGGATCCCGTGGGCCTCCAGCTAGCCCATGGCAGACGATGGGCCTCCATAACCAAGCAAGCCAGTTCCTTATGCTAGGTCTCCTTCTGTATGTCCATTGGTTCTGTTACTCTGGAGAACCCAGCCTCGGACCAGCAGAGAGGAAGCTGGTGGTTAGATGACTCCCTGCGCTATGCGGAAGGCGGTTCTGATCCGCCCTAGAATAAGATGTTGGACAGCAGACTGCCACTGTGTATGCTCTTCGCTGTTGGCTGCGTGTTTTGGCTTCGCGAGCTCAGGAGAGAATCTCCTGGTGGATGAGCAGGAATGAAAGGACATGGAGAAAGTCCAGAGTGGGGCCTTGCAGGGTTAGAAGACGTGAGAGCTTTTCAACCTTAACCAGTGAAAGATAAAATTACAGGCTCCCGAGTGGTAAAACTCAGCGCTGCTGCAAGAATGGAACCACGGGTGTGGCTCGTCCATCCACACCCGACTAGCTGGGTACCTGTGTTTAAGTCCAGAGGTGGGCTGAGAGCCGAGTGGCACCCGAGAACTGTGAAAAAAGGAGCTACAGGTGTGGCAATGGGCACAGGAACCTGCCTGGAGTTAAATCAAAATTTTAAAAGCTGATTAACTCTATGAAAGAGTTGTACTGCCCCCCTAAAAACAGCCTGGACCCAGAGAGACTGCGACCCCAACTCTCCATGGGTGAGAAGGGGGCTGGGAAAGCTGCTCAGTTCTCCAGCACCTGCCTTCTTTGGGGAGGCTGCATCCCTTTTGACCTTTGTGTAACTGGAGGAGAGGTAGGGATGGCCCCCCGGGGGGGGTGTAATTTGCATACAGGAAGGAGAGTCCCCAAGTTCTTCACAACCAGGCATCTGAACGTGGCCGTTGTTCATTCCGTTCACCAGAGGACTTGCCTTTCCTGAGCGAGTGGTGGGCTTGCACCTCCCACACCCTCGAATCCAGGCATATCTGGGGTGTGACTCACCGATGTCCCTTCTTTCTGCTGCAGTGACTGTGGAGGCACATGTCACTGGAGAACCTCGCCTGCTCCCTGCACAGCTGTGGCAAGCAGAGTCCCCCGCCCACCCTTGCTGGGGGAGGAGCAAGAGAAGGACAGGTGTTTGGGGCTGTTTGTTACACAGCCTGACCCAGCCCATCCTGACTGATGCACTGTTCCGTGTGGGGGTCATCTGTAGGGCCTCAGCTTAGTCTCTCATCCATTGAGATTCTAGCCTTGGCTTCACGTGTTCTCCAAATCTTTTCCTGGCTGGATTTTGGTGACTTCAGAAACAGAATTACTGATGAGTCCATTCTCCTAGCATTTCCATCTGCCATTGCCTGATGTATTCAGTCTGTGTTGTTGGGTGCGTGTACTGTAAACATTTCCTTATTGTGAAATTTAACAAATATACAGCCAAGTGCATGAAACATAAAAAGTACTGCCTAACGAATCGCTAAAATGCCAACACCTATGAAACTACCACTCAAGTCGAACAGAAGTACTTTGATGCCGATACCCCAGAGGGCACCCGCCTACCCTCCCAGGACCGAGCCTCCCTTCCCATGAAGGTCACCCCTCTCTAGATTCCTTCGGTGAGCACACTCCTGCTTTTCATTTGAGTTTTAACCCCCAAGTGTGGGATAAACCAAATTTGGTTGTGTGTAGGTGAAACCTGAACACTACAGTTCAATTTCATGTGGTCTGAACTCACGTAAATGAAACTATACAGTGTGTCTTCTTGGGTGCCTCCATTCCTTCGCTCAGCATTACATTTGTGAGCCTCACCGGGTTGCTGAAGTTCATTTATTCTAATTTCTGTCTTCTGTTCCTTTATATAAACATACCACAGCTCATCCACTCCACCGTGGATGGTCCGTGTTGCTCACAGTTTGTGGTAGCTGGAACGATGCTGCTGTGGGCATCTGTGTGCACACGTGCTCTCCTGTGTTGAATTTGTGTTTCTGTTGGGTATGTACTGGGTCATGGGGCACGTGTGTCTCCCACTTCAGTGGACCAGGCCGCGTGGCTTTCCACAGTGGTCGTTGCAGTGTACACTCCCACAGCAGGCCCTGGGTGTCCCCTGACTCCACGGGCAGCCACTCTGGGAGTTGTGTGGTGCCATCTCCTTGTTGTTTCAATTTTCATGTCCCGGATGATGAATTAGGCTGTAGCAATGATCTATTGCCCCAGTAAGGTTACATAATAAACAACCACAAAACTTCCATGGTACACATCAATAAACGTTTGTTTGCTGAAGAGTCTATGAGATCTCTGGGAGTTTTAGCGGAGCTGGACCAGCTTATCTGGGATCTCTCGTCCTCCAGGAAGTTAGCCTGGGCTGTTCTCACGGCCATCACAGAAAGGGGTCCTCACAGAAAGCAGAAGCGTGCGGGGCTCTTGAAGTCCAGTCTTGGAGCTGGCCCATGTCACTCCCACTGCGTTCATTAACTGGAGCAAGCGTGCAAGACTGTTTCCAAACTGGCCGCAGTGACTCCCAGCCCCACATCCAGGTCCTTGTTGGGGGAGTGGAGACTCAGGGCCACCTCTGCAGTCAAGCTGCCCGAGAAGTCCGGCCCCTTCTTTGTGTGTGATGGCCATTTGCTGGTGACAGAAATCAACCGGTGTTTGTACATGAGCTTTGCATCCAGCGACCTCACCAGACTCTCCCACTGATGCTAACAACATCTGTACTTTGTCTGACGTTTATTATTTCATGATTTCTCTGAAAGCTTGAAGAGTCCACTCTTTTCCTGTTATTTTAATGGTTACCCTATAAAGTATGACATAACTCTGGTTTCTCAGCCTCTGAGACCCTCAGTGCCTTTGCCTCTCGACGATGTGGGGGCCTGCCTCCTGATCACGCCATTT